CCTCCAGAACATCACTTTATTTTTATTTTTATTTTTTTTTTTTTGAGACAGAGCCTCAAGCTGTCCCCCTGGGTAGAGTGCCATGGCATCACAGCTCACAGCAACCTCCAACTCCTGGGCTCAAGCGAGTCTCCTGCCTCCACCTCCCAAGTAGCTGGGACCACAGGCGCCTGCCACAATGCCTGGCTATTTTTTTTTTTTTTTTGGTTGCAGCCGTCATTGTTGTTTGGCAGGCCCGGGCTGGGGATTCGAACCCGCCACCTTGGGTGTACGAGGCTGGCGCCTTAGCCAGTTGAGCTATAGGCGCCGAGCCCAGAACATCACTTTAAGGAATTGGGCCCCATAACTGTGGGACCAGCAAGGCTAAAGTCGAAAGGGCTCAGACAGGTGTTGGTGCCAGCCTTGAGGTGGAATCTCTTCCCCATGGGAAGCTTCAGGTGTTGCTCTTAAGGCCTTCAGCTGATTGGCAGAGCCACCACCACCTTATCTAGGTAATGTCCCCTTCCTTAAGTCATCTGATTGTTGATATCAACCATTTGTGCAAAACACCCAGACTGGTTGGTGTTCCACTACATAACTGGATACTTCAGCTAAATTGACTTATAACAAAACTGTCACAGTGCTGTACTTCATTCCTCAAGGGAATGCAAATTAAGACCAAAGTTATGGGCCTATATGTGGAGGACTGGGGCCAGGAAGCTCAAGGAAGGCCTGGAGTTCAAGACCAGTTAACATAGCAAGAAAAAATATAGAAAAACAATTAGGCAGGAGTGGTGGTATGCCCCTTTAGTACCAGCTACTCGGAGTCTAAGGTGGGAGGATCATGTGAGTCCAGGAGTTCAAGGTTGCAGTGAACTCTGATTGTCCCCCCCTTGCACTACAGCCTAGACAATAGAGTGAGACTCTGTCTCTTAAGGAACACAAAAAAGACCACAGTAAGACATAATTTTATATCCAACAAATCGCCAAAACTTACGTTTCTCCTAGCACCAAGCATTGAAAGGAGTGAATCAGCAGAACCTTTTTACTGCTGAGGGGATAGAAATTGGTATGCCTTTGTGGCGGACAAGTGAGCACTTTCTTTTAAAGCTGGCTGTTTGCGTGTGTCTCCTCCAGGAGTTTCACCCCTGAGGAGCTCTTCTATGGGAATGGCAATAGGTAAAATTCACAAGAATGTAATAATGTTTTTAAGAAATATATATAAATAACCAAAGGACAACTTGGAAACAAACCAAATATTCATTGATAGTAAAGTGAATACGTATATCTGTGGTTACAGACAGCAGTGAATAGATAAACAACACCCACATGGAACAAGTGAGAATTCTAGAAACATAATGTCAAATATAAAATTCAAGACACAGAAGATTAAAAATAGAGTAATGCCATTCTTATAAAGCACACACCAAGTAACACAACATAATACATTACTTGGGAGATACCCCCAGGTGAAGACGCAGACCTGTGCAGGAAAGCTGGAGGCTGGGCAGGGAGGTGGGTGCAGACGGATGCCAGTGTTGTTGGTGTTCTGACCCTTAATTTGGTATGATTTTCTGGAGTTTTTTTCATCATTATGCCTTACAACTTATCTGTTACTGATCATCTTTTCATATTATCAAATTATTTAAAAATTTAAAAGAAAATTAACAGTTATTTGTTTCCTTTTTTAATCCAAGGCAATGGAATTTAAAAGTTATGTGCTTTAATCTATGAAAGCCTTTCTAAGAATAAGTTTTTAAAAATGAAACTAAGTTGCATTGTCTTCAGAGAAGACAGTGTGGTTCAGTTGTATACCACAGCCAGGTTTCACACAGAAAAAAGTCCAGACCAGCCAGAACAGTGGCTGTTTAACTCTGGGGGAGAGGGAGCCCACTTGAGTTAAAAGCTGTTAGTCATCTCTCCAGGAAACATTTCATACGTGCAAAACTTGTCATCTAACTTCAGTGAGTGATAATGAATAGGTTACTAAGGTTATCTAAAACCAGTTCGGGTAACTTAACCTTGCTCTGAGAAATTTATAACTGATAATGACACTCAGTGGACAAAGTGTTCATCAAAGGGGCTACTTCATTCTTCAAAATTACTAAATTAGAGGAAGTGTTATAAAGCTGGATTAGTGTAGGGAACTATAATTTTAATCCTTTCAGTGTTGTGTGATGGAGCATGGAAGAATTTTGGCAAATGCCTATTAGGACTCCCTTTCAGGTTTTGTCTCTGATTTGGCCAACTTACCAAGGCTCCAATTGAGGGTGACCCACTTTTGCCTGGGTCAGAGCAACCAGAGCATGGTGAGAAATAATTGTTTTCCTTTGTGTAGGAAGCTTTGTAAGGTCTGCTGGTTGGCAAACTCTGTATCCCACATCTGATACACAGATGATCTACAGTTAGATGTTGTCAAGTCAAGGAACCCTCCTTTGAATACTTAAGCTCACTTAGGTAACTCTCTTCGCTGAGTGAGTGACAGGACTGTCATCTGTTTGCAGATACTTGGTAATGTGAAGAGCTGTATCATGCTTTTTATCTAGCGTTCAACGGCTGTTGAGCAGTGAAATGAGAGATTAGATTCTGAGCATCTAAGAGCACACACTGGGTCCCTTGTCACTATCTCTACAAAGTATTAAATTAGTTGATTGGCAAGATGTGTAGGTTAGGCTATTGAGAGAGTTATGCTTTCTTAATGAAGAATATAGTATTATGTTTAGGAAGTCCAAGAAACCATTGAAGTTTACAAGATAAAAAATTAGCATAGTAACATCTAAACTAATCTACATATTATACATAGTAGTACCACATGATTCAGCAAACAGCATTTTACAAAAACTGGCAAGTGTATGCATTTTTTTTTTTTTTTTTTTTGAGACAGAGCCTCAAGCTGTCCCCCTGGGCAGAGTGCTGTGGCATTACAGCTCACAGCAACCTCCAACTCCTGGGCTCAAGCGAGTCTCCTGCCTCCGCCTCCCAAGTAGCTGGGACCACAGGCGCCCGCCACAACGCCCGGCTATTTTTTGGTTACAGCCGTCATTGTTGTTTGGCGGGTCCAGGCTGGGGATTCGAACCCGCCACCTTAGGTGTACGTGGCTGGCGCCTTAGCCGGTTGAGCTATAGGAGCCGAGCCAAGTGTATGCATTTTAACGTATTTATAATGTTGGCTTACTAATAAGGAATAGTAAATTATCAGCTTTGTCTTTATCTTTTTTGTCATAGAAAATTACCTATTTTTCACTCAGCTTTATATTTTTATATTTTCATTCAACTTTATATTTGTAATAACTTTGCCTATTACATCACTCCCCTCCCTCTTCAGGTTAAAAGAGAAAATATTTCTCAACTGTAACTGTCCTCTTATTTATTTTCCATTTCCATATTACTTACTTATAAGAGCACTCATGGTGTTGTTTTTATAACTATTAATGGTAGTAAACTGTTCTTAAAGTTAACACTGGAATAAGGCAATGTGGTGTGAGGTTATGAGTGCAGTCTCTGAAACCAGACTGACTGGGTGAATATCCTCTCAGTAATTTACTAGTATACGACCAAGGCAACTTGATTTTACTGTTTTAATAAAAGAAGTGAATCCAGTGTCTAGTACCTAGTACGTGGGTTGCTACAAAAGTTTTGAAACAGACTGTGCTATGGTCCATTATTTCACTTTGAGAAACATGGTCAACAGCGTCCTTTCTGACTCACCCGTGCAAGTTTCAACTCTTAGCTCAGAGGTGTTGCTATGAAGGCTTCGTTTGTTTCTGTCCACACGTATTTGATGTGTCTTGATTTTTGTGCATGTCAGAATTTTTATAATGACCCACATAAAAGCTAATTAAGTGTTAGCTATAGTGATAGCAATAATAAGGTTATTACTATTAATAGTAAGAGTTTTCTTTAGGTTATGTACTTGCCATCATAGGACCTGTGTATGTTTAGCTTATTCATTTCCAATACGGAACTGGTTGGGTGTAATTCTCCACTCTGGGGTCAGAATGTTTACCCATGTGGCAGTCTGATTCCTTTGAGAACCTGTCACTGTCTGTTGTGTATTGAGTAAAATATTCAGGGACACATAGCAATTCAACAGCAAACACATGATACTCACTTAATGGATATTTGAGTGCTTAGCGTATGCCAAGCCTATGAAATACATGTCTATAAAATATGGTTTATTTTCCTGAGTACTGTCAATCAGTTTAACAGGAGGGAAGAGGGAAAGAGAGAGAAAACCTGCTCTTTGATTATCCCAAGTGGGTGAATGTTACAAGAAAAACAGTGCAGATGGATGGGTTAGTAATAGCAGGAGAATGAACCAGAAGCCAGTTTAAACATCTTGGGGAGCTAGGAGAAATGAAGCGATCTGTGTGCTGTGCCTTGGTGGAAGTTAGTTGTGTCCACATCCAGGAACCTTTCCCTGTATTTCACGTTTATGCTTCAAGCATCTGCAGTTGTATTATTAACACTTGTTAAAGGCTCAGTGTGTCGCACACAGAAAGAGAAATGAGCTTAATCCTTATTTCCATTATAGAGACATCAATAAAATTACAACCACTGTCAGCAAGCATAAAGGAGGGAGAGTTCAGGTTCTGTGGGAGATCACTGGAAGAAGCTTCATGAGAGAACATTTGAGCTGAGATTGTAAAGGATGCAGGCGGTTTCAGGCAAAGTTTGAGAACTTTGGTCGTGTGCTCACCCCATGCTAGGTTAAGGTATAAGCATGAGCAGAGCACAGGGTGAGAACAGTGGTATGGTGCCCACGAGAGTGGTGTCTCATCCGAGCAGGAATGTGGGCTCTGTGTGCAGGGGCTGTGCTGGTCTGCGTTGGGGTCAGGGAGACGTGGGCAGGTGTTGTGACTAGTGGGGCATGGGAGTACCATTACTTTAGTGAGTAAAGGGGAACAACGGACAGTGTTTCCACATGGGGCACGGTGGCCGTGATGGTGCTAGTGCTGGACCTGGATTATCTAATAACTGCATTTGTGTGTTCATTGAATTTGTGGTTTTGTCTCTTTCAGGAGGTTCAAGATTTGCTAAAAGACTATGAGTTAAAGTATTGTTATGTGGACAGAAATAAACGAACAGGTAAGATTTCAGTTCTAAGCATCTGATTTCATTTTGATTCTATATATATTCATTATACAACAAAAATCTGTGTGTCTTTTCATGCTTAAGGTAACCATGAAGTCCTTAAGCATTAAATTATATAAAAGTTACACAGTTTATTTTCTGAAGGTAATATTAGTATTCTGAATTTTTAAAAAAATTTTTTTTTTAGAGACAGAGTCTCACTTTGTCGCCCTTGGCAGAGTGCTGTGGCGTCACAGCTCACAGCAACCTCCAACTCCTGGGTTTAGGCGATTCTCCTGCCTCAGCCTCCCAAGTAGCTGGGACTACAGGTGCCCACCGCAACGCCTGGCTATTTTTTTGTTGCAGTTTGGCCGGGGCGCGTTTGAACCCACCACCCTCGGTATGTGGGGCTGGTGCCCCACTCACTGAACCACAGGCACCGCCCAGTATTCTGAATTTTAATTACATAAATTACTGTGTTATTGGATACAGGAATTTTTACCATGAATGTTCTACCGGGTGTTGGTCACAGGCTTGATACCCTTCAATTTTAGTGATGTGTTCCTGCACTTAGTGAATAGGCGGTGTGATTTGACCTTTAGTTGGGCAGATTGGGAAATTGCTTAATTTTTCTGGGTATTACTTTTATATCATGAGACTGAAAGACTAAACAGTTAAATATCACATGTACACAAGGATTATTTCCTTTATGTCCATATGATATTTAATTGTTTAAAAGGATCTTTTTGAAATAATAGAATAAAATATGGAGAATGATATAACCACTATGTACATAGTCTACATCCAGTCCTAAAGTAGCAAATTTTATGTTTTGTCTTTAAAAATACAGTAGAACTGTCAGCGCCCATAGCTCAGTGGGTAGGGCACCAGCCACATACAGTGAGGCTGGCGGGTTCAAACCTGGCCCAGGCCAGCTAAAATCAACAATGACCACAAACAACAACAACAAAAAGCAAGCCAGGTGTGTGGCAGATGCCTGTAGTGCCAGCTACTTGGGAGGCTGAGGGAAGAGAATCGCTTAAGCCCAAGAGTTTGAGGTTGCTCTGAGATGTGACACCATGGCACTCTTACCGAGTGCAACTTTGTGAGATTCTGTCTCAAAAAAAAAAAAAAAATACAGTAGAACCTCTGTACATTGACTACTCAAGGGATTGTAACAAACTGGTCAACATACAGAGGTGGTCAGTGTGAGGATCTTCCACTGAGTACATGTGGTGCATGTTTAGTCTATGAAAATTAAGACAACTTGAGGAGGTGGTCAGTGTAGGGAGGTGGTCAGTTATGGAGGTCCTACTGTATTAAAGACAAAAAGGTCAATCTGTTGACTCTTTTTTTTTTTTTGGTTGCAGCCATCATTGTTGTTTGGCGGGCCCGGGCTGGGGATTTGAACCCGCCACCTTAGGTGTATGTGGCTGGCGCCTTAGCTGTTTGAGCCACAGGCGCCGAGCCAATCTGTTGACTCTGAAGGTATTTTAAAGATATAGTAAGAAAGGACATCACAGATGAAGGTGAAATCCCGTCTCCTCCCTCCCTCATTGTGCAGGGAACATGTGAGTTTGGAGCTTTCTGCAGGGCACACCCATGTGAATTTGGAGCACATTTTCCAGGCTGGGCCGTTGTACTGCAAGTCATTAGAGCTGTTCACAGAGTCTTGTTATTTTTTCTGGGCACAGGTAATGAATTTACCTGTGCCTTTGAAGTAAGGAGTGGACTTGTGCTTTCTTATGAGTGAAATGAGAGTAGAAGTGACTTATGTACCTTCCAGGGGAGCTTCCAGGGCCAGCGTGCTATTGGTCACTCACCTTCCCCCAATCAAGTAACTGGGAAGGTGACCGAGCTGCTTTCAACCCAGATCTCAGAGTTGCTGTGATGAGCAGTTTCCCTCTTTCCTGACCTTCTGCTGGGTACACAGCATGACATGAGACGACCTTGTGCTTTGTCAAGTCATCAAGATCAAGGGGCTGTTTGTTACCACATTATATTGACTAATACCCGTAATTTTACCATCTCTCTACATATATGTACGTATAAAGTAAATAATATTATTCTATGTCTTCTTTTAAGCTTTTCATAAATGGTATACTACTATTTGTTTGTTTTTTTTTTTTGAGTAGGTTTCTACTTTTTGCCTTCACAAAATTAAAAAGGCTTAAAATTTAATAACAATAACAATGTTTAAGATAAGGACTAGAAACAAAAGTCTCGTAAAGAACAAACGAAGATAAATACATTCAGGAAAGAAATCAGACAATTGTTGCATTGAAATATTAAGCAATAATAATGCAAAGAAAGTAACATTGACATTGTCGAATCAGAGTATGTCTATTATAGAATGCTTTGACTGAGGTTCAGTATGAGGTCATCAGTTAACTTCTTTTTTTTTCCCCAAAGTCTCAAAAAATAAATAACTAGTATTTATAAATAAAAGGAAAAGATGCTTTCAAAAAACAGATCACGCCAAATCTTATAGACAATAGAAAAAGAAGAAATACTTCAAAATCATTCTAATCTGGATACACCTGATATTAAAATTGGAAAAAGTATATTATTATAAAGAGGAAATTGCAAACATATTTCACTTATAAATGAGGATGCAATATCCTAAACAACATATTAACAAGTTGAATTAAAAATTAATATTTCGATCAAAATTAAATCCAATTTATGTGAGAATTAGTCACTATTTTCTTTTCTTTTCTTTTTTCTTCTTTTCCTTTCCCTCACCCCCTCCCTCCTTCTCTGTCTGGTCTCCTCTTCCCCCATGCCCCACCATGTTATTGTCATTAATTGTCCTCATATCAAAGTTGAATACATAGGATTCATACTTCTCCATTTCTGTGATGCTTCACTAAGAATAATGTATTCTACCTCCATCCAGGTTATTACAAATGCTGCAAAATCTCCATTTTTTAAATGGCTGAATAATATTTCATGGTATACATGTACCACAGCTTACCAATCCATTCCTGGGTTGAAGGACATTTAGGCTGTTTCCACATTTTAGCAAATTGTAAATTGGGCTGTGATAAACAGCCTAGTACAAGTGTCTTTATAATAAAAGTTCTTTTTTTCCTTCTGGATAGATGCCCAGTAATGGGATTGCAGGATCAAATGGGAGGTCTAGGCTGAGTTCTTTGGGGTTTCTCCATAATTCCTTCCAAAAAGGTTGTATTAGTTTGCAGTCCCTCCAGGACTTTACACTTTAAACAGTGTAAAAGTGTTCCTTTCTCTTTACATCTGCACCAGCATCTTACAGTTTTGAGATTTTGTGATATAGGCCATTCTCGCTGTGGTTAGGTGATATATCAGGGTGGTTTTAATTTGCATTTCTCTAATAATTAGGGATGATGAGCATTTTTTCATGTATTTGCTACCCATTCATCTGTTGTCTTTAGCGAAGATTCTATTCATCTCTTTTCCCCATTGATGTATGGGATTGTTGGGTTTTTTCTAGTGGATTAATCTATATCTATATAAATATGTATACATAAAGTAAAAAAATATTATTCTGTGTCTTCTTTTAAGTTTTTCACAAATGGTACACTACTATTTGTTTTATTTAGCACCTTGCTTTTGTTTTTAATTTAACATTGTTTTCGGAACTTTCCACATTGATATTATATATGCAACTCTAGTTCATTGATTTAAACTGCTGCATATGATTGTTCTGTGAATTTATTTATCACAATTGAGGTATCCTTTACTGTTAGGCACTCAGGAAGCTTTAACTTTTCCCGTATTTCAAACAGTGCTGCAGTGAGTGTCCCTTAGTTGTCTTCTAACAAACATGGCAGCTGTTTCTCGGTGGCCTCACTGCTGAGTTCTGGGAAGCACACTCACTATGCACCAGACAGTGGGGAGGGCTGGGGCAACGATCCTCACAGCTCACACAGCCAGGAACAGTGCTGGTGAACCTCGCGGGTGCTGGGACGTCAGGAGGGGCCTCTGGGCTTCATCACTGTTTGGGAAGATGAACTCTAGAGTGAGGATGTTCTTGTCTTACTCAGGAAAATTTAACAGTAAGACCAGAAGACATCAAACTGTTCCCCAGTAAGTTGCTACAACCTGGAACAAAGCTCAAGAGTATTTATACAAAGCATCTGACACCCAACTAGGTAAAGTGCACGATGTCTGACATCCAGTAAAAAAATTCCAGACATGGTGAAGAAACGGGAAATATAACCTGTAAGGAAGAGAAAAATCAATCAGCTGAAACTGGCCTAGAATGGATGCAGATGGACATTCAGCTGGTTTTCATGACTGTACCCTGTGTGTGAGAGAAATTACAGTAAAAGGTTTTCCAGTCATACAGCCCTTAGAAGAATCCATCTCCACTAAATTTGCATATCAAAACTACTGAAGGAAGCCCTTCACACAGGAAGGTGGGGCAGTCGAGGTCTGGACCTATGCACCAAAATGCTGGTGAAGACTTTCTTCTAAGATTTAAATCTCCTTCAAAGATAACAAATTGTTAAAAGCAAAATAACATGAAAATACCCTAAAATTCAATACAAACACAAGTCTAACTACATTACTACATTTCAAAAGAATAACATAACCAGGTGGCACTTATAGCTCAAAGGAGCAGGGCGCTGGCCCCATATGCCAGAGGTGGTGGGTTCAAACCCAGCCCCAGCCAGAAACTGCAAAAAAAAAAAAAAAAAAAAAGAATAACCACACTGCAGAGAAAAAGAACTGATCTAATAAAATGGCTTATAAAGTAAAAACAAAAAAGGCACAATAGCACTGTATTGTTAGGCTTATAACACATGTAGAACTGAAAGGCATTAGTGGTAATAATACAGAGGCTGGACGGGGAGAAGTGGGCGCATGCTGTTGTAACTTACTTAGGCAGGGCTCAAAGTCGCATAATCCCCATGACCGTGGACCGTGATGAGTTGAAGATGTGCTGTAAACCGCAAATCACCCTTCCAGCAGGGTGGGGGGATTGCAAGACCAGCCTTGGCAATGCAGCTGTGCTGTCTCTACAAAAAATAACAGAATGTTAGCCAGGTGTGGTGGTATACGGCTTGAGTCCCAGCTACTCGGGAGGCTGAGGTGGGAGGATCACTTGAACCCAAGATTTTGAGATTACAGAGATGTATAACTGCCCCACTGCGCTTCAGCCTGGGTGCCAGGATGAGACACTTGTCTCTTAAAAAAGAAAGCTAAAAGAATAAAGAAAAGAGGGTGTATCTGAGCCCTATTTGAAGGTTGGAATTTAAAGATTCTTTTATATTGGAGATGAGGGAGACAAGGTCTAGATTAAGTCCCGGATTTCTGATTGTGAGTCACAGCTGCCAACTGAAGCAGAGGATAGAGGAAGGCGGGCAGCGTGGGCATGGGGGTGAGGGCAGGGATAGGAGGCTGATGGGGAGTTATGTTTGGGAACTGAATGCAGATGCACAGGGAAAGGAAGGTTAGAAACTAGGTTGGGAGTTGTAAGAGTGCAGGGCGCCTTCTGTGAAACCTCAGACAGATCATTTTGTTCTATTTAATTGCTCTCTTAGCCCCTTGGTGTCTTCTTTGAGGACACCGAATTTGTACCTCTTTGTTCAATGTCTGGCATCCCCTCTTGGACTGTGAGTTCTGTTGAGAGGGATCTTACCTGTTCTGTTCACCAACACATTTGCAGTGTCTAACTTGGCACCAGGCACATAATACTGAATATGTGGGAGTGGGCATGATGGAGAAGAGGTTGTGGAGTGAGGGAGGAAAGAGCAGAGGTGTGGGGCTGCGAAATGTGGCTGCATGGGGTTACTGTGAGTGCATCGCGGAGGGGTGGGGTGGGGGGGAGCATACTTTACAGGTGTGAGTACAGAAGAGAACCTAGACAGGAAATAGTGACAGGAGTGTTGGGTGGTTGGAAGGAGATTCAGGAAAGAGTATATCAAAGAAGTTAGGAAAGGGAAAGGTTCATAGTTTCAAATGCCCTGAAACTTCAAGTCAAATATGAGCTAACGATTTTATGGGCTGATATAGGGACATAACCAACCAGGATGTACAAACTATTGGCTCATTTGCATGTTTTAGGAAAATAGAGTTAAATGGTATTTTATACCAGCAAAAGAAAAAAGATATAGAATCAAAACAGTTGCAGTCCTTTAAAAAGGACACTGGAAACCCACAGATAGTGTCAATAAGGCAAGCAAAGCCGTTTTCTTCCTTGTGTTGGAAGAGTTCCTTGCCGGTAGGGATCCTGTGAATTGAAACTGTGTTTCTGAACATCAGTGTCACACTCAGGGTGGTGAGATGCCCTCATGCTGAGAGCAGGTGGGCACCAGACCGGATTGAGTGAAATGACTGGCAGAATCACCCATGCTGTTATTACATTCTTTGTTTTTCCCTTGATATGTAGACCAATCCATAAATTATAAGACAAATGAATGTGCCATTTACAGCATATTACCATGTGGTTCTGCTTTAATTTGGGTAAATTGAATGTTCATATGGAGCAGCCTGACCATGTGTTCCGGGGGAGAAGAGGAACTCTCAGAGGGCAGTTCATTTCTGATTTGTGGATTACCTTGTTTATTTCTTTTAATGTTGGCTTCCAACTTTTCCTGTACAATTGCTCAAAATCTTTTATGTTTTTGTAGAACAACAGGTTAAACAAATTGAGGTTGGGATTTAATTTTATCAGATGTTTATGTGCATGATATTTCATCAATTTAGAACCTTATACTTATATCATGTTTATATTATATAAATTGTCATATTGCATTTGTTGATTGGTGTTGGAACAGTTTTAGTAGGTAAATGGGAAAAATGCTTTCGATTGTTTTATGAATATGTAAAGTTAAGTTACTTTTCCAAGATTAGAATCCTATAATCTTTTCATTTGATAGTTTTCATCAACAAAGTTTCATACCAAGTTGTATATGTGTGTGTTGTTTCAAACTAATTACTATGATTTCAAGGAAATATTTCGTGAATTGGAGAAAGAACTGGCCTCCTCTGAGCAGCTTTGTGTCTTTTTGCTGGACCTTGATTTTTTTTAGGTCCTTGCTATTAAACAGGGTCTTTTTGGAACTTTCTAAAAGAAGAAAGGTTTTTAATCTCCTTTTTTTCCAGTGAAGGTTTTTATAAAGACTTCATAAAAGTTTATATCACAAGTTGTTGAGGAGAAAAATATGTGTGTGATTGAGAAAGATTATTTAAAAAAGGGAAAAAATTTAAAAATCCCAGCATATTGTTGGATTTTACAGTGAAACTCTTTTTTTTTTTTTTTTTT